GAAAACCAGTTTTACAATTCAGCATTCTTACTAGTAAATGTGATTTGGGATAAGTTCGAAACTGCAGTACAGTCCAGTCTAACCGGAATGGGATTTCCTTTCGGGACTCAAAACTAGGTGCAATTCAGTGGAACTCTGATGTCTATTCATTTAATTGTGTGATAAAACTCAACCATCAATCTTTAAAACACTTTAGCCGACCTTGACTGACTGAGTTATATTCAAGATTTACTGCCCTTCTCGAAAACTAATTATTCCAAAAATAATTAGCGTCTTCTATTTCAACAGAAAAATGGATAATTCCCACAGAAAAGATGTGATTTGGGTACGGCCTGGTTTGGCCTGACTGTTACATCCATTGACACGCTTGACTACATAGCGCAGTGGGAACGGTATCAATTCCCGTTGGGGGTGTTGATGAGAAACATTGAGGATAGGTCAAAATTGCAGTCAAGTCGAGTGTAACCGAGATGAGACATGCGTTCGCGAGGCAAAAATAGGGGAAATTCACTGTCATCCTGAGGTATATTCGTCTGATTGTGTATGAAAACGCAGCCATCAGTCCTTAAAATGCCTTAACAGAGCTTGGCAACTATGTTTTTATTCGAGAATTTCCCTCTTTTCCCGGTTCCTTCAGGTCTCTTCTGCCAGGCTCCCAAGACAAGGCAGGTTTCCGGCTTCCGGTGCTACCGGCCAGCAGACCTGTGGCCGTCTGGTACACACTTCTTCTGCCCACGTAATGGGCTCATCGAAATCGGTCTGTGGAGCATGAGGAGTGTCCAAGGGAAGGTAGAGGCAAACAGACGACTCGAGAGGGAGAAGGGTCGAATGCTTGCCACCAGGCGACAATTGAATATCGACACCTGTCCGCATGGACTCAAGAGGCGATTGCCCGCATTTCCGCGACTCGACAACTCAGCCCGTAAATCACACCTTCGAGTTCCGGCAGTCTATCAATATTTCCCTCTTACTAGGCTCTCTTTATAAAAGGTGCGATCGCCAGTGATTCTATCAGTCGTCTGAGTGGAAAGTACAGAAAAATCTGCCTGGTAAGCTTGCTTTTTCAGCTGGTCGACGGTAGCTCTGCCGAAGCTAGGCGGTTTTTCCCGTTCTCCTTCAGAAAACAGAGTCTCTTCGGACCCTCTTCAGCGAAAATTGTCAAGTTAACTTTATTTCTTTATTTCTTGCTTTTCAGTTGCCTCTAACTAGTGCAACACTCTCGTAGGGTGACCTGCCGGAATAATGAGGATAGTCGAAAGTCCAATTGTACGACGGACGATCCGTTTTGTTTACAGTTGGATACCTTATGCCGGTAGGTGTACCATTTTGGATGTTATTTTGATGTTATTATATTTGAATTAGGCACATACAGGCCCGACAGACGGGCTCCGATTGCTCTAAAGCTCTGGCTTTACTCGACCTCTCCTCTGTTCATGGTATTGGCAGACAGTTTGAGTGGAATCAGAAGCTATAGGCATAATAAATCTCAGAATTTTTTAAATGTATTATACTGATATACTACTGCTATGGGGCGTCAGTAGTAGGCTCTGAGAAGAAAAGCCCTGTCGAGCACATACACATTTTATGCGAAGACAAGTGGTTTTCGAGAAATAGAATTCATGATAATTTCCAAAGCAAAGGCCAAGGAAGCCGGTAAAGCCAGACGACAGTTTTGCCAGCAAAAGGATGTAAACAAACGAGCCAAATCTCTTCAGCTCACCCCTTCCCTCAACGAGTGAGCGATGCTAACTCATTGAATCCGAAGAGCATTGCCTCCAAGATGTCCGCTTCACCCATAAATGCTTTTGCAAACGAGGAAATTTCGCTACTGAATTGCCAAGTTTTGGTTAATAAGTAGGCTGTCGAGGCTACCAGTGGATCATATATTTGAAGTGCTTTCATTCTATTTCGTTTACGGTGATATGGGGACCAGTAGTTGAATTTTTCCACAATCTGACGAGTAGACCTTACATTTTGTATTGTTTTTCAAATAGCCTTGCTTCCCAAAAGCTATTCTTATCCAAACAGGCCTGGGCTGTCGTTTCAACCTCACGCAAACTGGCCTCATCAGCACCCCTAGCGGGACTCGAACCATAGCAGTGCACTGACTAATCTCGACACGTTGACTATCACGCCAGACTGCCACGAGTGCCCTTGAGTCGGAGGGCAAATGTGATTTTTAATGATGTCGCATCACATTCTGTGGTGGTACTGTCGACGCAGCAAATATGTATTTACTGTCACAATTGACTGCATTACTCATTTCCGTTTATAAGTAGCTAGATAAGCTGTATGCGAATTAGTCTGTAAAAGCCGTCTCACCTCCTGTCCCCGTCCTCCTTCTCGATTGCTGCCCCCTCCTTTCACATGATTGCTCCACACGCCTGACCGGTGAAGTGATTCTGCTGGCGATTGAAGAGTTCTTGACGGTGTACGCCGCTTCTGTGGTCACCGGCGACCCTTCCGTGTCTGCGGTCCAGTCCGGCCTCGACGACGACACCACCAACTCTACCCTCCTTGGCGGCAATTCGACCGGCCTGTTGGGTCCAGTCAGCACGTTGTTGATGGTGCCAGCCTCCGTGAAGCTGGCGGCGGCTGTGGCCGGCGTCGTGGGCACCAGCGCGATGGGCGGCGCCTGTTGTGGTTGCTGTATCAAAGGGAAAAAGGGCGCAGGCTGTTGCAATTGGTGCTGCAAGTGTTGCGACTCCACTCTCGACGTCTGCTGTCCCTGTTGCGACGAGAAGTGTTGCCATTCTCTGTGCAAAAGTTGCGCTAAACAGTGCAAGTGTTGCAATGGCTGTTGCTATGGTTGCCCCGAGTGTTGTGGTTGTGATCCGGACTGCGGTTGTTGCCGACGTTGTCGAGCCTGCTGCCCGTGCTGTTGTGAACCGGTCAGCCATCCCCACCAGAACCTTCCATCCCATCATGGCGGCCATCACGGCGGCGGCCACGGCTACGGACCCAGCCATCCTGGGCCCGGCCACAGTGGCCCTGGACACACTGGCCCCGGACACAGCGGCTCCGGGCACAGTGGGTCCGGCCACAGTGGGCCCTCGCCCAAGGGGCACCACCACGGTGGCCCACCGATTTAGGCGAGCTTCTGACGAGTAGACCCGATCTACTGTGATGTCACCCTTCATTGGCCCCTCACAACCGAGTGCTCCCATCCTGACTGTCTCTGCCCTTTGTCTTGAAGGCTAAATCGACATACATACACATTCACACACAAACACATACAAACACACACACACACCAACCTCGCAGTCTAGCTAGCCAACCTCTACCTCCAATTATGGTCTTGTTCATCACTTTTCGGACTAAATTCTCTCCTACAATTAGACTTTCTTCATAAACTAACTAATATATCTCTCTCTATCTCTCTCTCTCTTGCACTACTCACCTCTCTCGTCAGACAAGCTCGGTTCATTAACAGTCCAAATAATCCAACACGGTGAATAATCCAACTAAAAACTTATGCTGTAGTAATGCGTTTTGCTTTCTCCGTAATAACTAATATGTCAAGCGAAGCCTTCATTTATTTCTTGGGGATAAGAAGTTAGAAATTGAACAATTACGGCAGCTATACTTTGCACAAATAAGGGCAAACTCTGCCTTCGTTCAAGTTGTCTGCGAGAGCTAATGAAGAGGCATGATGTATTCACTTCGAGGAAACGACTAATTCCAGGAAATGTGTGTGTGCGTTCCGAAAACAATGGATGGTTAACACCAGGCCAGAATATAGAAAAACATTTTAATAACACACACACACACACACACACACACATACACAGAAACAACAAATATAAGCACCATACTGATTCTATGTTGTATACGATTCTGTAGGAGGGATAGCTGAAGTTTTCCACAATATTAAGAATAGGCAGCTTAGGATACAACAAAATTCGACATCGCCAGGGTCTCAACCTCACCCATAATGGAAAACGAAATTCACTAATCATTTCATAGTGGGATAATTGAACTGTCAGTCCTTCGCTGAGAATGCTTTCATTTCGCATGAAAGTGCTTGATGAAGATATTCGAAAGTCGACCTCACCAGAAGAGGACGGCTGAATCCGGTTGTGCTGCAACAGTTTGGCTTAAATACGAAGTTCAGGCTGACGTAATCCACGAGACATCCTCCCTCGTGTCTGCTAAAAACTGGCTGAGCCTTCGTCCATCATATGATAGGCAACACCAAAGCTGGGACTCATTCTTATGACTGTCCAGTTCTATCTTACCTTTTTTCGTTTCGAGTAGGTTTTTAAGACTACCAGTAAATCGGATATGTGAGTTGTGTTCACCCTAGTTTGTTTATGCCGGTGTTTGCCAAACTTTTCCTAGTCGTGGCGCCCTTTTTCAATTAAAATTTTTCCATTGCGCCATACCCAAAGTATGACTATTCGAATGTTAGAGATAAAAAAAAAAAACTCGTGTAACTTCATTATTTTTTTACTTAATTAATATTTAATAATTTATGTAATGGATGAGCCTGCAAATTACTACACATTTTCTCCAAATGAAGCTTTTACAATATTTCTCTGAGCCCCTGTAAAGAGTCCGCGGCTCTCCGGGGCGCCGCGACGCACAATTTGGGAATCACTGGTTTAGGGTGATAAAAGACTGGTAGTCAAATTTTCACATAATGATATGAGTAGACATGACGTTTCCATTGCATTTCACATGGAAAGGGCACTCGTGGCAATGAGGCGTGGTGGTTAACGTGTCGAGATTACACGCTGTACTATCATGGTTCGAGTCCCGCTGGGCATGTTGATAAGTCCCAGGCGAGGTCGGAATCGCATTTCAATTAGGCCTGAATGAGAATACCTTTTGGGAAAGTTAGGCCATGTGAAATTCATTGAAAATATAAAGTCTACTCACCTGATTGTGGGGAAATTCAACTACTAGTTCTTCATCATCCTAAACGAAATAGGGCAAATATAGCTCATATAAAAGTTACGTAGTCAACTATACTATTTTTCATATGTAAGTAGAGTTTCGAGATTACAAGTAAATTAATAGTATGAGATGTATTCACCCAATTTCGTTTAAAGTGATGAAGGACTGGGGTAAGAAGAATTTTCCGATGCATAAGATGCCATTTTGCCTAAACGAAACGAAATAAGTGATTGCCAAGCGAGACAAACACCCACCTAC